TTCTACTGTGGAAGATGACTAGATATAGAGTTGTTACCAAGCCAAGGTTTGGCTGCTTGCTGCTCGTGAGCCGAAGATCGAGAGACAAGGGTTGGTGGAAAGAAAAGCAGGTTATTCAAAACGCCAGCATTCCAGGAAGATGGTGGACTCCTGTCTCAAAGGCCACCTTCTTCTCAGAATGGTCAGAAGGTTTTTAGGTACACAAGAAGTAGAACAAAGAAAGAGGGCGGTGAGCTATGTGATTTGTCTGGGAGAACATCCCTGGGGTTTGGTTTGTTTTGCACTGGTTATCTCAGATCCAGTCTTAGGGGTGACTCGTATGTCATCTGACAGAAAATGGCAGTTCAGAATTGCAGCCTGGTTGCCAGTGCCTGGATAACTGAGGGCTGACTCAGTTTCTTGCAAGTTAGTGTTCTGCTGATTAACTGGATTAACGAGGTATGCACATAGCCTTGGGAAAACAGAGCAATCAAATCTGGCAGTGAGGGAGAAAAACAAAGAAGAGAAAAAAGAAATAAACTACAAAATAAAGTAAATCAAACTATAATTCAGTAAACCAAGCTAGATTGCTAAATCCTTAAAAGTATGCTGTCACCTTTGCAGAGTTAGAAGTACAAAATATTTTTCAATTATTATTTTGATGGTCAAACATCCCTTGTTACCCTTGAGATTCTTATGCTATTCTGACTCCTTTAAAAAAATTATATATATATATATATATATATATATATATATATATGACATTTTTAATTAGTTCTTAACTCTGGAAGCTTTGACATCTTGTGTAGGTACCTTGATGTTTTGAATTTGCAGTTTTGCAAGCATCCAAGTGTATCTCAAGGATAAGTTCCTGGCAGTGGAATAGCTGAGTTAAAGTTGGATGCATTTGCAATTTTGATAGATATTGCCTGGTTGTAATAAAGTTCTTACATATTGTCAGCTAAGCTCTAGACATTGTCAGAGCCTGGCTTTGACACAGATCAGTGCCACCCTCAGTGTAGAGTGTATCTCCCCTTTGAGCTTCTGAGGAGCATACAAAATAATTTTCCTCCCGCCTTCTAAATTCTAGCGTGGCTAATAATCAGATTGACATGAGACAGATTAACATCAGCGTGTGTCCAGAATTTATTACAGATGGATGGGCAGGATGCCATAAGCCATGAGACCCTAAAAAAGGCGCATTAGGTTTATGTGCCTTTTTGGACAAAGGAGAGGGGACAGGGGCCTGGGATTTCAAAGGGGAAGTAGACAATTCACAGGTGGATGAGAAAGAGCAAACGTGTTAAATAGACTCCTGTGGGCCACCCAGAAAAAAATGGGACAACAAGAAGGAAGTTCAACAAACAGACTTTGCTAGATTCCTCCCTGCCTGCCACGTTTAGTTTATATTACTATACTAATGTGATTTCTCTTCCTTTCAGCAGGCTTTTTTGTTTTGTTTTGGTTTTTGGGTTTTTTTTTTTTTTTTTTTTTTAATCTGAATCCCTTTAGGCAGGTAAGGGAGAGAGTCAAAGGTTCTTTCTGGGTCTTTTGTTTCTTAATAACCAGCTTAAAATCAATATCCCTAGAGGCATATTTTGGGATGGCAAAGCTTTGGTCTCCCTCAAGCTCTTCATTAGCATTCTTTTGAAATTGGCACCACCCTCTCCTCTCTTTGGCTCTAACACTCCCATCCCTGCTCCTTCCCCCAATACACACGTGCCCATACTTTTCATTCACTCTTCCAGTGTCTTTCCTTATCTATTAATAGCAACAAAAATATATATATTCTAGTTTAGTAATTAGAAGAATTAGTGCATCTGATCAGTTATTCATAGATGTTAGATTTATTGCTAATTACACTATAACATCTTATTGCTAGGGTGCAAGATACAAACTGTATAGATAAAGGACTCAGGGTCATTTTAGGAAGGAAATTTAAGTTTACAGATGGAAGAACTAAGGCACTGAGTCGAGCTTTGTCAGAGGAAGCCAGAATGCTGTGGACTGCGTTGTGGGGCGCAGGCTTACATTGACAGGAAGAGAAGCAGCTTAGGAAATGCTGAAATAGGCAGATAAATAAGAAAAACAAAACTCAATGGAAGGAAAGGTTTCAGGAAAGAAGGTGATGCCAGTGTTGTTTTATAGAGTGGTCAGGGTGAATGAGGACCAAAAATGCCCTGGAGGGCAGTTTCAGCAGTGGGAGCTAGGTAAACCAGTGTTGATGAAAAATATCCAGCCTAAAAGAAAATTTACAAGAGTTTATTTGAGCCAAACTGTCGACAATTGCCGGGAAGCAAAATCTCAACGGATTGAGAAAATGCTCTGCAAAATGGCGGTTTGCAGTTTATTTTATACAGAAAATCAAAGGAGGAAGTTTACATGAAATCCATTGGTTGTAGATTAAGTGGGTGGGAGAAAGCAAAGGGGGGGATAGGGGGGATGGGGGGGACCTTTGGGATTGGATAAAAGCACATTGGAGAGACAGGTGCTCCTCCCACACAGGTGGGTGCAGGATAGCTAACAATTCGCCCTTTACAGCACATAGAGATGGTAATCAGGAGATAAGCATGATAATGAGGAATTTTGCAGTTTCCAGCTCTGGTCTGGAAAAAGGATTAAAGATGTTATTTTAGGTACAAAAAGACAAAGAACAGGCCCACTGAAAAGGCACAGATTAATTTAATGAGGAAGCTGGAGATGAGATGTGCCTTCCGCCATGGCCCACCTTAGTTAGGAGTTTTTACGTTCACACCATCCTCAGTGGTTATTTTCAGTCTCCTGAGCTTGTCCCCTCCTTTTTATAACACGTGGCCCCTTTTCCGTCCACACCAGCTAGGTAAGAAGGTGGATGTAGCTGAAATAGAGCACTTATGCCAGGTCTTCCATGTGCAAGGAAGGGGAGCGCTGGGCAGGAGATAGAGTGGGAGGCAGGATCTAAAGAGTATTTTCTCGGGTCCAGAGAGAGATTATCTGCATGTTTAGATGCAGACGGAAGAAGGCGACTGTAATGATGAGAATAGAATACATTAGGAGACAGAGAAGATATGGGGGTCTAGCGACAAACAGCAGCACATTTCAAGAAGGAAAAGGACCGAAGATCTTTTTCTCTGCCTAGAGTGGGGGTGGGGGTGTAAAATTATGGCTGAAGAGGCAGGAATGAGTCTGTGGTGGAAAGCTCAGACCATTTGGCTCCTGTAAGGTTAATGGGGATTTAGGAGCATGGAGATTGTTTTGAATAGCTATCTATTCATTTGTTTGTTTATTCACAGAACACCTGCTCCATCACTTTGATAGAGGTACAAAGTGAAAAAGCTACCAAATAAATTTATGGAGACATTTTTTTTATCTTTCTTTTTACAGTGGTTATTCAAAGCCTGAGAGCAGGAGTGGAAGGCATGACTGTGGGCTTATCTAGCATTATAGATTTGCATCACGAGTGTCTAGGGGTCAGTGGCAGTAGGTGGCGGTAAAGATGGCCCTGAAGTGGTTAACCGGGTGGCATAGGCTGGATAGGGGGTCCAGGGAGCTAAGGGACTGAAGGACGTCCTGTCACCTCGAGAAAGACTTGAAGGTGGAGGTTTGGTCAGGGTAATGGAAAGAAAGAGGATATTAATGATAGGAGGAGGTGAGATTAACACCACTTTTGAAATCTCACAGGCAGTTCATAATGAAGTAGAATTCTACACACTTGATTGGGAGGGAAGAGATTAGGTTTGGGAGGTCAAATAATGAGCAAAAATTATAGAAACAGCAAGAACATCTTAACAGAGATAATCTTAATGGCCAGAGTCACAAAAGTGGCTGGCACATCACAAGTCATAACTTTATCACTGTGTTCTACATAGTATGATAGAGAAATCAGGTATTGTGAGTTTTTAAAAAGTAATGCGTTTTATAATGTCAGTGAGCACCATTTTCGGTATCTTTAGAATAACATGTGGGTGCATACTCTGTGTTTAACACTTTCTGAAAGCTCAATTTCACTTTAAGTTCACAGCAAAATGTGAAGTGTGATACTTTTGATCTTTCAAGAAATGTGGAAAACTTTATTGATACGTGGTATGTGTGCAGAGGTAATTGGATAATAATAGTGTAAATACCTAAAGGTTATAGGATTAGTGTAATAAACCAAGCACAAAAATGTGTTTACCCTTTAAAAACTTTACTTCCATTTGCTCTTGCTACATCATGCCCCCTGAATATGACTTAGTGTTTGTTTATTAGTAAGCGCCATTACCTTAGGATTATCAAATATACCAGGTATTTGGATGGACAACATTAGGCATAATTGTGTTTCTGTCTCTCTTCCCCCGATGCTATGAATCTGATTCCGTCTGCAGATTGCCAGCCTGGTGATTCCTATTTGCACTTGCCTAAGAACAAAACATTTGGCTTCCTGTGAACTGAAAGCATGGCTGTCTTTTTGACAAGGCATCTGTGAAACGTAGATGGCTACCTAACAATGGCCAGGAACCAGTGTTTTCTAGTGGGAACCTGGAGTTCTTACAGGCAAGGTGACCAGATGTCCTGATTTTCCTGGACAGTCCCGGATTAAATCTGCTGCCCCAGCGTCCTATCCAGTTATCGTTCCTCTTCACTCTCAGAAATGCTCTCATTTGGACGGTTCATTATATGGTCATTCTACTTATGGGTCTCATTTTGAGATTGGTGATCTGTGCTTTGGATCATTAAGTGAAGATGCATCTTAGTAGTTGAAAGCAGCAGCCAGTGGTTGATTTTGCCTGTTGTAAAAGGTTTAGAGATGCTTGAACAAAGCTATTCCGTTCTGTGACTTCCCAGTATATGTTATACAAAGTGTTACAATTTGTACTGAGTTCGGTAGCTGCTATTTGAATTGAGCAGTTATATGATACAATATTTAACCAGGATGAATACATCCTTAATATCTTCTGCTTTGAGAAAGAGAAATATGGTAGTGTTGGGTTTGGGCTTATGACATGTTGGGTAAAAAATGTTTATCAGTAACCAAGTCTTGATTGTTTTCCTTTCTTCAACAGCACTCATATTCTGAGGGAGCCTGTGTGTTTAGGAGGATGCGAACACATCTTCTGTAGGTAAGTAGCTATGGCTTGAAAAAAAATACATAAATATATATATATATATGCAGACACTACTCCTGTGTAGTAACTGTTTTTTACTAGTAACAGTCATGTAATCATATTACTCCCTTATGTTTGTATAACTTGAATAGATTGCAGAGTAACTTACTATACAGTATCTCATTTTGACCCTTAATAACTGTCTTATTTTACTAATAAGAAAAAGTTCAGAGGATGACTTGTCCAAAGTTAAAAAGCTTAATAGTAGCTTTGCTAAGCTTGGGGGAAAAATTAACATTTATTATATAATTCAAATGTCTCTTTTTTTCTTTCATTTAGTTTTGAATTTAAATCATGAAAGTCTAGTTCTTAGAGTTATTGTATTAGTTTCTTGCCATAACAAAGCACCCAAAGCTGGGTGGCTTAGTACAATAGAAATTTATCGTCTCTCAGTTCTGGAGGCCGAAGTCCGAGCGGAGGTCCTGGCAGGGCGGGCTCCTCCTTAGGGCTGTGAGGGAGAATCGATGCCACACTTCTGTCCTGCCTTCTGGTGGAGTGTCTGGCTTCTGGCAATCGTTGGCATTCCTTGGCTTGTAGCTGCATCACTCTGGTCTTAGCCTTCATGTTCACGTGGCTTTCTCCCTTGCAGGCATGTTTGTCTCTCTGTCCAAGTTTCCCCTTTTTATAAGAATACCAGTTACATGGGATTAGGACTCACCCTGATGATCTCATCTTAACTTGATTATCTGCAAAGACCCTATTTTCAAATAAGATCCCATTCACCAATACGAGGGGTTAAGACTTCAACATCTGTTCAGGAAACACAATTCAAGCCATGAAAGTGATTGTGAAATTATACCAATGTTATGGGAACGCCCTGGCTTATAGGTTAGTATATTAGATTTTTTTTTTTTTAGATTTTTATTGGGGAATTGGGGGGATTGGAACAGTACTGGGGAATTGGGGGAAGGGGAACAGACAAGTTGCTGTCGTTTTGTTCTTCAGTCTAGTTGTGGAGGACATTGCTTCACTGGCCCAAGCTGGCACCATCATTACACTCTTCCCGGGCAAGGCAGATCAGTCGCTGGCTTCTGGACGGCCGCTCACTGTGGCTGCTGGCCGCTCACGCTGGCTGCTGGCTACACATGGTAGCTTATGGCAACCCACTGCCACAGGGGCTGCAGCCTACGCTGTCGCCGGCGACTCACAGCAGCCCAGCTCCAGGTTGAGCTGTTGTTCAGCATCTTAGCTGTAGAGGGCAGTGTCACTGGCCCTCATATGTGGGATCTGACCTGGGGCCCTCTGGCATCCCAAGCCAGCTCTTAACCATCGCGCCACTCGGCCGGCCCAGTATATTAGATTTTTATTTCATCCTATTTGTTATTCAGGAGAAGTCAATTTAAGGACTGAATATCTTAGTTTAATTGTCTGTGAGACAGGGTTAATACAGCCTCCTATGAATCAATCTTTTAATTATTTCAAATTGTGACTGTGAAAGTATTTGGCATGAGCAAACTGCAATATGAAATGTAAGCACGTGAAAATAATTGACTATGACTTCAGTGGGCTGGGGATATGGGAGGCAGCTATGTTTGGGGTCCTGATTTTGTTTTCTAGAAACATATATCTGTTACATGGGGCCTCCTTGGCAGGAGGATGAGGTAGGAAATCATACCTGTTGCCTACCTGATATCTGCATTCGAGTGATGAAAAGGGATTTCAGACGTTCAGGGCAGATCTGTTGCGTATCATCCCCTTCAGCCTGTTCCCGCCTCCTTGACCTTCACAGCAATAAGTGGTACCACGAACTGCATTTGCTCAGCAGAAACCACAAGTCATACCTCATCTCCCTTTTTCTTCCTTTTCCCACATCATTAACTTCTGTCAGTCCCACCTCAAAATGTGCCCTGAATCTTGACTTTTTCCACTTTTCTCTGTATTTTCTATTGTTATATTTTGGTCCAAGCTACCATCATATTATCTCTCCTTAGATTATTGAAATAAGTTCATAACTGGTCCCTTCCTCATTTTCTACATTCTTGTCAATGATTTTTTTTAATTTTTTATAAAATTTTTTTTTTTATTGGTGAACAGCTATGATCATTGGTTACACATTGCTTTCATGCTACAATGGCATAGTTGACTCTTTTTTAGGGAGGGTGCAGCTCAGTGGCCCATGCGGGGATGGAACCGGCAACCTTGGTGTTATCAGCACCGCGCTCTAACCAACTGAGCTAACCGGTCACCTCCTTGTCAGTGATCTTTTAAAAATGTAAATGACATCCATATTACTACCCTCCTTAAAATCCTTCAGTGACTTCCTGTACAGTTAGAATGAAACCCAGACTCTGCCCCAGCGTCTACAAGACCCCGTACAGGGCCTCGTTTCAGCCTGCCCCTCGGACTGCACTTCCCTCTGGCTCACACGGTTCCAACCACCTTCTCCTTTTAGTACACGAAACTTCCCAAACTCACTCTTGCATCAAAACTTTTGCACCTGTTATTCCTTTCATCTGGAATGTATTGCTGCTGGATTTTTTGAGGCTCACTTTTCATCAGTTATATTTCATCTTAAATGACACCTCCAAAAGGCCTCCCGTAATCTCCTTATGAAATGGTACCCATTCCCTGTTGCCACTCTGTAGCAAGCGGACTTAATTTGTTTCAGCTGATGCACCTACTGTGTCTACTAGATTAGTGACAAAGCTGCTGGAGCATAACAAACTCCATGAAATTATACGTAAAGCATGTGTGCGCATGTGTGAGTGTGCGCATGTGTGAGTGTGTGTATTTGCCATATAAAAGACATTTTAAAAATGCTAATTCACTTAAGAACAACAATAAACCTGTTACATACTAACACAAAAACATTTTTTAAGGATAAATAACTATTTTACAAACCGAAGAAAAAATAGGAATGGTACTGTTTTACATTATTGCAAATCTCTTTATTGTCTTGCTGAATACTAGATGATCATATCTGCTTATGTATTCAGTGTGTTGTGATCTATTGTTTTGATTGATGTATGTGAAGAAAACCTGGTCTTACATATGTATCTTTAGTTGGAGAAAGGAGTATTTTAGGTAATGATGGATATTCTCTTTTGATACTACATCACTACTTGGCAAGTGATAGTTTTCTGAATTTGTTACAGTGTGGAATCTAAAACTGTGTCAGTGAGCTTTTTGTACTTCATTACATTAAATTTCACTGATTAAATCTTGTAGTTTGAATGGATCTTTTTACCCAGCATGATTTTATGACATCATGCATTATATATTTGGGAAATATTGGCTTACTGAGTTATGCAGATTTATTGAGAAATGACATTTCCCCAGAATTCTGGATTAATGTATACAAAATAATTTGAGAACAGTTATACTTGTAAGACAGACATAGAATATATAAAATAGCCTGATGTGGATACTAGTGTGGTGCTGGTTAAGTGTCTTAACTACCTGGATTTCAATTTCTTTGCCTGAAAATGAGATAGTGGTTTTTAATGAGTGGATTTTGACTATATTTCACTAGTGTTCCTCAAATAGTTAAGTATTGCACAACAATTGATTTAAATCCCCTAAGGAATCAGTTTGCCTATTTTATATGTTGGGGTTCCTAGCTACAAGCAAACAAACTCGAAGAAGTTCCTTTCTTTGCTAAAGAAAATTTACGTGTATTGGATGTGGTGATCTAGAAGGTCTCTTCCAGCTCCAGTGTGGTTTATGGATTCAGTTTACCACATTCACTGAGTTACTTAGATTCAGGGATCATGCTAGGACCTGAGATACAAAGATTAGAAATGCCACAGGTCCTTTCTGAAGGGAGCTCATATAATCAGAACCCTGTGTGGCTACAAATGAGTGGGTCACATGGAAATGAACGTAGTGTTCCGGCAGATGTGGCTTTTATGACTGTTACATTCCCCAGTCCTGCTCGAGTCCATCGGGTGAGACAAGGAAGGAGTGGGCTTATAGGTTTCTAGATCGGAATTCATAGATAGGCCTCAGGGGAGATTCTGAACCTCCATTTTTTTACAAGATTTTATCAGATTTGTAAAGGCTTTTGTAACCCCCAAAGTTAGGAAAACTCTTCTATGAGACTATAAATCCTGGACAGATAACCCAAGGTAATTTAATTGAATTTACAGGTTATAAAAGTTCCTGAAAGAGCTAAATATCTTTTCGCAAAATTGCTTTAAAGCCGTAGACTCTTGTTCAAACACAAAACAAAAAATATCTTTCCCAGTCTCGCTGTGGTAATTTAAGTATTTCCATGAAGCGTAGCGTTAAGGGTTAGAATAGGAAAGGTAGAGGTGCATGGCTGCTATGCAGTAGGTACTAATATGTTTGTTTATGTCTCCCTCTGCACTTTTGCCTTTTAGAAGCTATATTATTTATTTTCAGAGAAAAATTATACAGATTCATGTCTAAGTAAAGTCCCTTCGATGTAAATTACCTAAGCAACTTTAGACTTGGATTTTGTGTGCATGTGTATCACACACTTTCAAAAACAATTTTAACAAATATTTTATAATTGCCAATTACTTAGTAGAACAAGCTTTTCTTCATTTATTACATTTCTGTTCAAATTATGTTTGTTTATTTTATGGAATTCAGATTTTACTGAATGCGTTGATAATTATATGTATATTTTAATTCTTTTGAAGTAACTGTGTGAGTGACTGCGTAGGAACTGAATGTCCAGTGTGTTATACCCCAGCCTGGATACAAGATGTGAAGATAAATAGACAACTAGACAACATGATCCAGCTCTGTAGTAACCTTCGAAATTTGCTACATGAGAATGAGCTTTCAGGTGAGAAATATCACTGTCTCTCTTAGTTAAATAACTGATGAATTCATATTGATCACATAAAGTATGTAAAAGATCTAGCAAGAATTCTGAAGAGCGTATTTCAGATTTTAAGATTTATAGTGTTTAGAATCACTGTGAGTGACAAATTCCCTTGAGATAATTAAGTGTGACTCCCTTTTTTTGTAGATGAGAAACCAAGGTCCAAAGAGGTGAAATGACCTTGCCTGAATTAACACATGTAGTTAGTACCAAAAGCAGGAGAAATACAGCCCGTCTCTTCTGACTGTCAGTCCAGGGACTTATTCACCACCTTTACTGCCTGCTTTTGAAGTTGTGATAATTAATTTCTGTATAATATACATGGAATAGTGATTTTGTCCTCAACATTAGTGATTTTGTCCTTAATCTCACTTAAAGTAGTTTTATAAGATAGACTACAACCTTCTTCCATGAATCACTTTTCTAGGCTGAATTAATTAGATGAACACATTTTGAAAGAGCAAAAATCTAATATTCATTTTTTTCTATTTAAATGGGGTTAATGTTTTTCAAATTGTTCTTAGACTCTGTGTATTAACTATGTATCTTCCTGTTGTGCTTTCTGCTGAGAACTAATTAGCTGTGGAAAGAAAGTGTTTTGAATCTTCATAATTAGTTACTGGAATTGTCTTTTTATTGACCAGATCACGTCGTTTTAACCTGTATTTCTTTATAGGAGAACCTTTTCTTGACTGGCAGGATGCCGTGGTGATTGATAATACTCATATAAAATGGTTGGATTTCTGCTTTTAAACCTTTTGATCTTAGTTTTCCAAAACCATGTGTCACTGTCAGCTATTAAAGGTGAAGTGATTGGACAAAATAAAGAAACAGGGTAAAAGCTTAGTCTTATTGACCAGGTGCATATTTTTAAGAAAAAAATTTTAAATCACAGTTACCTATGAAAAGTTGTCTTCATCTAGTTATTTGATTATAATATTAGACTCCATTCTTTTATGATAAAATGTACTGTAGTGATAAAATTTTACTTTCAGATGCAGTTACGCAATACACATTTTAAAAAGTACTCACCTTTTTGAAAAATGTAATATTGTGTGGTAAATCTCTTTAGAACACAATGAGGAAAAATTTTGTGATTAGTTCATCTATTATTTTCATTGTTATTCAGACATTGCTGATAGTGTTTATTTTCTAATTCAAAAAATGAGTGCACGATCTGGCTCCTCCCACGGATACCATTGGCTAAAGCAGGAGTTCTTAAGAGTCCATGCATCTTTGGCAGTGTTGGGGGTGGAGGGGGGATTAGGAGCCTCGAATTAAATGTATAAGATGAAAAATGTTCATATCTGTGTGAAAGTGGCTTTCGTCAGAATCTTCAAGGTGTGTGGTCTATTGGGAATATTGGCCATGCACTGAAATTTGGGGTGGTCCTCTGAGATTTGTGTCTGTCATGTTTTGATTTGATTCTTCTCCAGTTGCTGTGTAGTAATATATTAGCTTGCTAGGGCTCCTGTAACAGTACATACCACAAACTGAGTGGCTCAAATAACAGAAATTTATTGTCTCATGGTTCTGGAGGCTACAAGTCCTAAATCAAGGTGTTGGTAAGGTTGGTTCCTTCAGAGTCTGTGAGGGAAGGTTGTGTTCCAGGCCTCTCTCCTTGGCTTGTAGACGGGGTCTTCATGTTCACATGGTGTTCTTACTGTAGGCATATTTGTGTCAGAGTTCCCCTTTTTATCAAGATACCAGGCATATTGCATTGGAGTCCTGTCCTCATTTTTACGAATTACACTGTAATGATGCTATTTCCAAATAAGGTCATATCCAGAGATACTGGTTGCCGGACTTCAATATATGAATTTTAGGAGGGAAGCAGTTTAACCCATAACAAGCAATGTGAAATTTTTAATGGTGATAAAAGGGGAACAGAGTAACCCTTGCTGCACTGTCAACTGTGGTAGACCGGGATACCAGGTAGGTATGATGGGATGCAAAGAATAAGATAGATGACTTCTCAGGAAATTTTACTGTGGTTAGTGATGTATTTGAATCATCAGCATGGTTTTCATATTTTGTGAAATATATGACTGTTGAAATGCCTTACTATTTCATCATTAAAAAAGATATTTAGGGAAATTATTGCATTTAGAACAAGTTTTTGTATGGGACCTAAGGCCTTTTAGAATGCTGTCTTTTTTTATCTACCGTATTTGCCGGCGTATAAGACGATTTTTTGGCCCTGAAAAATATGCCTCCAAGTGGGGGGTCGTCTTATACGCCAGGTACACTTCAGATAGACTGCCCATAGTGCTTGCCCCGTGCCATAGTGGCCTCCCGATGCCCGCCCACTTCATTCCACATACCGTTCAGGCATCAGCAGCGCTGCTGGGTGTATGCTCGGCTGTTATGCGATTTTGCTGTTATGTGATTTTACCACACTCGCAAAATCGCACACAGCCGACCATATAACAAACTCTGTATTTTCAGTGGAAATGTTAGGGGGTCGTCTTATACGCCCAGTCGTCTTATACGCCGGCAAATACGGTAAGAGTAGAGCTGGAGTTTGCGGAATTATGGTGATTAATTTTCTGAAGGCCATTTTGTGTTTGTTTTTCTTATTATAATGAGTAATAATTACGTTAGTCCTTATCAGACTTTAGTAGTTCTGGCTTTAACATTGCTTGTTTTAAGATGAATTGAAATTTCACAGCTTGGATAACATATAGTCAGAATTTTAGGAGCTCAAGGTCTTGTTAATCCCTTTATTCTGCAGATGAGGAAATTGAGGACCTTGGTTAAGCTGGGCAGCCATAGTGTAAGTTTCTTGCCTTTTGTTTTTTCATTTAGCACATGGCTTTTTTAGACGTAAGATTTTCATTATGTTTATTGAATTGAGTTGGAGAAAAACGGTCAGTGCTAAGACTTAATTCATATCCCAGAGATTAAACTTAATTAAAACAATTAAAATAAAGAAATTCTTAGGTTGGTTTCAACATTCATTGTATAATAGCAACATCCTTCTTTGCTGCTTTTATAGAAGATGATAAATATAAATTCTATCTGAAATACAAATTCTGCAATATAAATTTCTATCAAGATCTGTAATTTCCATGGTGTGGAACTTGTTTTACTTATAATAAGTTTCATTGTCATCACCTTTTCCTCCCGATGTCCACTAAAACAAACTAGCCTTGAAGAACATTTGAATTTTTTTAGAGTATTTCCCTGTATTTCTTTGTAGTTTATCTATTTAATTATTTTATGCAGTATTTTTATGGTAGTTTATCTAACAGATACTTCTAAAGCTAACGTGGTATAATGTGAGTGAGGTGAGTAGGTGGAGGGAACTGATGGCTGGGACAAATAACGGCTGATCCTCTTTAGAAGGAGGAAATTGGAAAATGATCTCATTATGAAATAAGGATATAAGATTATGTGATTCCTAAAGTCTAACTCCAGAATCATACAGTTAAATAGTCAGGTGTTGAAGATGATGAATTAAGTCCAGTGGTTGGACATCTCCCACATTTTCTCTATTTTTTAAAAATCTGTAGTGCACAATTTATCTTTCAAATGAACCTGTTACTTGCATTTACTATAAAATATATAATTACTGTAATTAAGGTGGGCAATTAGGAAGAACTTGTAAAGTCGTGGACATAGTATAAGGTATATACTGGAGATAAAGAAGCCTGATTTATAGTAATACTTTCTAAATTGAGTTTCTAAATACTTGAACAGATTTTTCTTGGTTCAGTGTACTTTAAAGAGAAGAGATTGTCATAAATTTTTCTGACAGCCATGTCTGGATAATTTTGCCTTATTCTTTATAACATAATCTGCTTTTTACTAATGGAGTTACATTTAAAAGTTTTTATTTTCTCTTGTCCCCCATGATGTTAAATCATACCTCGCAGGTGGTGGTCAAGTTCTGTGAAACACATGTTGGTGTTGGTGACATTAAAAAAGTGCTTTGATTATGCTTTCATAAGATCACAGTTCCTTGTTTTCTGGTTTCAGGAGAGAGTCTGGTTTTTCTGTGGTGAATTATATAGTGTTCCATATATGCTATGATTTTTTTAATAATAGATGAAGATGAGCGTTTGAATAGCTGTGTTGCTGTTGGTTTTTTTCAGATAGAACTGAATAGTTCTTAACTTACAAAATAATCATTCTTTAGTGAAGGCGTTAATGTTGCACAGATGGTAGCAAAGTATTTTCCTTTGATTTTTAATAAGGGACTAGTTTGTCAAAGGGATTTTTTGACTTCTGTTGTGAAACCTATAATACAGGATGATTTGAAAGGCACACAATGTACATCATTATAACCCTTTGATGTAGATTAATGATAGCTAAATCACATTTTCTAATTGCCTCCTTTTTCTACAGTTTATTATTAAATTTTAAGAAAAAACTTGGCTAAGCAGCTCCTTGGCTTCTTGTGCATCACTGTTCCTGGATAGTTTGTGGTGTATTCAGAAGTATTTAAATTCAGAGAATAGAATTCTTTTAAGTGTCATCATTAAGAAATTTACTATGTGGAGGAAGGACCAGTATTTTGCTTCATGAAATTAATATAATTTATCATGTGTAGGAGCATTCACCCATAAAAAACTGTTGTAGCTCTACGTTAATAGTATGATTTATGTTCCAGAAGTGGTGGTGGCTTTGCTTTTTATATTCTTAACTTACTGGGTTGTTGGAAAAGTCATGACACATGTTTGCGACAGATGGCACTGCTTCATTTTTGGATGTACTAGAGTGATGCACATCTATGTGATTGCTATGTCATTTGACAGCTGACAGTTCTAGCTTCGTTCTAAAAAAAATTGAGCAATTTGGTTGAGTTTTAGAGATTTTACAACAAGTTGAAGATGGATGACAAAACTGCGTTTTTGCCATATTTTACTGTTTTACTTCCATAAAGGGAAGAATGCGCATCAAGCTTGTGAAAAGTTGCATAAAGTTTATGGTGACAATGCTCTACAGGAACGTCAGTG